AAGAATGCAAGGCGATAATCATAGAATGTTTTTTAAATTAGTACAATAATCATCCAATCATTCGTGTTACAGAGTGCCTATACATTTATATATATATAAAGACCGTCTAAACTCTAAATAATCACATTAATTGTCCGGCATTTTAAACGTCAAACGTGTAAATATCACGTGGCATAGGAATGTTCGAAGATGAAACTCGAAGGGAAACGAGAGCATAACCAAGCTTTTCATTCATTGTTAACGTTTATTATTCAAAACTGAATCACGAGTCGTGTTATTATGGACAACATCAATGGCATTGTCGATGGCAAATCCAGCGATCTAAAATTATTTCAAGGATCCGACAACTTTAACTTGGCGAAGTTATAAATCCTAATTAAGACCTTCCCGAAATTACGTGATGTTGCGCCCAGTTTTCTCACGAATACATTCGATTAACGCACCAACCTTTCCTTGAAATAACTTATACTTTCATTCACATTTGGTCAATCATTCCTCATACGGCGCTACAGAGAGGCGATACCAAATAAACGAAAGATAAAACCTTGTTTGCATACTTGTATTTAATATTTCACGATTGTTGAGTCAGCTACCTAATATTCCATATGAGGACGGTCAATGATTCTAGAAAGCGAGAAAAAAAATGGATTTAATAACTTTCATTTCAAAAGATTTCATTTTTCTTTATCGGAATTATTACTCCGCGTGATATTCGGCTTTAACAATGTGAATCACAAGACTCATCATATGCATAGTATGCACTTGTGCCAAGAACGTGCCGTGCATAATAATTTATTGCACTTTTTATAGATAATAATCATGGAAATAATCTTGTAATCCTGATTATTGAATTCAAATAAATAACGATAAATAATTGCTATTACTCATTTGTTTCAATTAATAATAGATTTTGTAATATAATCTACTCAAATTAAGAAAAAATCCGAGTTTTTAATTATGATTTATTAATAAAATTATTTTATCGCGTAATTTGCAATTATTAAAAGTATAGAATTCCTGATAGAATCAAAAAATACTGTAGCTTTATCAAATATACTGTATAACATATAAAAAAAAAAAATTTTTTTTATTATTATATACATTATATATAAATTTTATTCTTTATTATAAAATAATAAATTACAAATATGCATTTATATACTTTACATTATATAATATATACAGTTTGGTACAAATATCTTTGAATTGATTTTAGTTTTTAATTTTATTTATAAATTTATAACCAATTAATAAAATATAGTAAAAATTTAAATATATACATTTAAAATTTTAAAAATAAGATTAATTAAAAAAATTTTTAAATATATTATAATAATATAGTTAAATTTTAATTCAAAGTTAAAAATATTTTTTTAAAGTTATATCCAAAATCTATTATATATTAATAATTATAAAAAATCAATAATGTATAAATTTGTTAAATAATGTAAAAAAAACAAAAAATAATTTTTTTATAAATTTTTAATCTTTTTTATTAACTAAAAAAATTCTATAAAGTAAAATTAAAAAAAATTTTTTATTATAAATTCATAAAATTTTATAGTAAAATTATTTTTTAAATTTATTAATTTTAAAATTTTAAAAAGTATTGAAGTAGTATTGAAATAATATTAAAATAATATTAAAATAATATAATAAATTTAATTTTATAATTATTATTATTTTTTATTTTTAAAAATTTAAATAATAAAATAACTTCAAATTTATATACAATTCATCTAAAAAGTCTTCAAACAAATTTCAATTTATATTTTTATTTATAATTCAATAAATAATTTATAAAATAAAACAAAAATTTAAATATACTATATATTAATTAATGAAATATAAAAAACAAATTTACTTAATAGATTTTTATTAATATATTATTGAAATTTATTAAAATTCATTGTTATATCAAAATAAAAAATTTTAAAATATATGATTTAATTAAATTACAATAAATAAATAAATTTTTTATAATAATTTTAATATATCAATTTATAAAATAAAACAAAATTAATTAAAAAATAATTTTCATTAAATTTTAAATTATTTATTTGATTTTTTAATTAAAAAAATTTATCAAAATTTAATATAAAATCTAAATTTAAAATTTTTTAAAATTATTTTTATTAAATAAAAAATAAATTACTTTTTATAAAATTAATTTATATATTATAAAAAATTTTGTCCTCGCCCTAAAATCAAACATTACGTTGGGACAGCTGCTACAATATCCAAACCAGCGCAGGAACCTAGCCAAAATATTGAGGAGATCAGTACAACAACCTCAAGAAACTAACTATATTACGTACAACCCAGGGGAACGAACAACAGCCTCCCGATGCTATGTCCAAATTAATCAGCAACCTGTGATAACTATTTTGGATACTGGTGCGGTCGTCAGTCTAATATCAAAGAATCTGTTAGATAAGTTGAACCTTCGGATCAACGAAAAATCAAATACGATAGTCGTTACTGCAACAGGAGTCCGGGAGAGAATGTTAGGAAAAGTTAAGAATATAGAGGTTTTGGACCAGAAAGTAGGGATCCCTATCGATCTACAAGTCGTGAAATCAAGGGACGAAATGCTACTACTAGGAACAGATTGGTTCCAGAAATCTAAGGCCAGAATACACTTCGATGAAAAGAAGCTATATTTACAATACGCAGGGGAAGCTATAGAAGTGCCAATTTCCCACCATGGTACGGAGTCCCTCTTAGAACCCGAGAGCGACCAGGAAAGCGCAGAGACTGACTTATTTGATGAATTCGAATACGAGGAAGAAAAAGTAGACGAAAGAGGTGGTTACTACACTGGTGACGTGCTTTCGGACGAAGAACTATATGAGAACCCTTGGGAAGAAATGGAAAGTCTGGCAATATACCTCACTAACGTGGAGGAGGTCCCTACGCTAGAAGGGGAAAAAGAACCTGAATTGACCACGAAGGAACGAATCGAAAGTCTAATAGAGAAAAATACCGAGCTCGGAGAAGAGGACAAGGGTGACGTACGGAAACTATTCAAAAGCGAAGAAGACCTTTTTATCGAAGGCCTCGAAGGGTTAGGACGAACAAGTGTCGTCCAGCACACAATTGACACCGGAGACGCCAAACCGATCAAACAAAATGCGTATAGGATGTCCCCAGATAAGAACGAATATGTGAAAAACAAACTGAAGCAAATGGAAGAACAGGACCTGATCCAAGCATCCGTTAGCCCGTGGGCTTCCCCCATCATCATAGTCCCAAAGAAAAATGGAAAAAGACACCTATGCGTCGATTATCGATAACTAAATATGATAACAAAACGAGACGCTTACCCTCTTCCAAGAATTGACGACCTGTTGGAAACTTTCGAAAACACCAAAATATTCTCTAATTTGGACTTAGCCAGTGGTTATTGACAAGTGGCCATGAGATAGGAAGACCAAGAAAAAACAGCATTCGTCACTAAATTCAGAACGTACGAATTTAGAGTAATGCCGTTTGGATTGTGCAATGCTCCGGCAACATTCCAATGACTGATGAATACGATCCTACGTGAACACATTGGGAATTTCGTAGCAGTATATCTTGACGACATCATCATTTACTCACAGACTGTGAATGAATATATTGAACACCTAAAGCAAATATTTGAGAAGTTGCAAAGTACCAATCTAAGGCTCAATCTAAAAAAATGTTGTTTCTTCCTACCAACGATCACCTTTCTAGGGCACGTAGTAAGAAAGGAAGGAATTAGGCCCGACGAAGCAAAAATTTCAAAAGTACGAGATTTTCCAACTTCTAAAAATTTACGGCAACTCAAGGGATTTATCGGACTAACCTCATATTACCAACGCTTCATACAAAAGTTCACCAATATTGCACGATCACTACACTAGTTATTACAAAAAAACGAACCATACGAATGGAAGAAGGAACAACAACACGCATTCGACACTCTCAAGGCCCACTTAATCAAAGCACCGATATTGCACTATCCCGATTTTAATAAAACATTCTATGTACACACCGACGCGTCTGGGATCGGGTTAGGAGCGGTCTTAGCCCAAACAGACGACAATCGCAAGAAATATGCGATCGCCTATGCCAGTAGAGGAGTAAATAAAGCAGAGAGAAATTACGCTGCTATGGAACTAGAATGCTTGGCAGTAGTCTGGGCTGTAGAATACTTCCATCACTATTTAGGCTATAAGCCGTTCATCCTCGTCACTAACCATTCCGCATTAAAATGGCTAGCAGGAACGAAACTCAAGGGACAATGCGCAAGATGGATACTGCGATTGCAGCCCTACAACTATACTATTATACATCGTGCTGGGAGAAAACACTCGAATGCTGACGTATTATCTAGGATACCCGACCCCGAACGAAACAATAAGGACCAACTTGTGAGAATTTAACTCTTACAACATATACATAACCCGGCAAATAACACTACACTAGATGACCAGACTAACAAAAAAAAATCTGACGTAAAACTTAAATCCAGACCAGGTAGTCGGTGTCCTGGCATATTTTATTGAAAAAAAAAAAATGAATCCGATACACTATCGTCATCTTAACAATTTTCTGCAACATTAACAATTACCAAAGACACTCACACCCTGTCAACAACGCGACCTACAATTAAATAGCCGCTTCTTCGTCAGTAAAGATAGGATGTTATATAAAAAGAACAGACGAACGAGGGGATGACTCCTACGAGTGCTACAGAAGCATGAACTCGAACCAGTGTTATACTTGACACACACTCACCCGTTAGAGGGACACCTGGGAAAAGACAAGATGTTTAACAAGATTAGGGACCTATACTATTGGCCCCAGATATATAAGGATATTCGAGCTTACGTACAGACCTGTGACCCATGCCAACGTCGAGGACGAAAGCGAATCACTGGACCTTATTACCCGATACCAATCGAGTCACCTTTCCATCAGGTTGGAAAGACATAGTAGGACGCTTACCTGTGACCCCACAAAGAAATCGATATATCATTATAGCAACTGACTATATGACCAAGTGGCCAGAAGCCCGAGCAGTGGAAGCCGTTACTGCACAAAACGTCGCTAATTTCATCTACGAAGAAATAGTCTGCCGACACAGATGCCCCGAGATATTATTATCAGACTGCGGTACTCATTTCTGGAATTGTATGATGAAACTATTCCTGGAAAAATTCGACGTGAAACACCTCTTCTCGACGCCTTATCATTCACAAACCAACGGTTTGGTCGAAAGATATAATCGAACCCTATGTGAGACAATCGCAAAATTAGTAACCAAAGCAACTGACTGGGACACAATAATACCTTCTGCCCTGTTTGCTTATCAGACCGCGAGGCAAGCAACTACTAAGCTAACTCCCTTTTATCTCGTATATGGACGTAAAGCCCGATTACCTATTCAAGAGGAAGTACACTTGGAGGGAACTATACTACACCAACTGTTCCGCCTAATTCACATTACGCCATCTGAAAGGGCCGCCACTGTCCAACATGTCTGCCAATTACAATAACAAACAAAACAACAACGAGATCAACGACAAGACCTATGATACGATTTGTTTATAGGTGATAAAGTGTTAATATACCGCGCCGCACTTGAATATTCAAAAAGCCACAAGCTAGAATCAAAATGAAACGGCCCCTACCTGATACATGACATATGATCCTGAGAAACCTACTAAATTCGGACGATGGATGGCCAAGTCATGAAGACACTGCTGAATCGAAATCTACTAAAAAAATACTATAAGCGACCCACGCCACAATAAGGGAATCATGAGGATAGTAAGGAATAAGTATAAGAAGAATAAAGAAAGAAGAACGAAACCTATAATGGCTCCCGATATTACTCGTATCATCCATGACCTCTTAGAAACCCAATCCAAGATGGTGCAAGTCATAACCCCACCCTTAGGAGACTCAATGAACGTACAAGGACGAATGCATAGCATGTATCGACACTTACGTTGGCTACAACGTACACAACAATGTATCCAGTCTTTAGTATATGCCTACTATCTTGGAATGCTGCTTACTCAATAAGAAAGAGTTTCCTTTGTTTCGAAACACTACTACATTGCATCAACTCGCGTATATGCCCTATTCAGCGGATATGGCGTTGCACAAATTTATTGTACTACTTACCTTAATCTTAACGTGATCTGACAACTAAAAAAGGAAGAGTTTTGTAGGTTAGTGATTGGCTAGCTCGTAGAACTCGCAGCTAAGCCGGGGAGAATGTAAGAGGGACCAAAAAAATTAGATAGATTCAACATCGCCCAATTGGGGTTTAATTGGGATTTTTGGGATTTTAGGGATTTTTGGGATTTTTGGGATTTTTGGGATTTCTTAACATGTATATAAAGAGAGAAATATACTAGAGAAAAAGCAACAATAAAATACTATCCTTTTATCATAAACTCAGACTAATATCTAACACTTTCACTTACCTCATGCCACATCTCCACGCCTCTTTCGACGTTACATAATCGGCGATCGCGACGTAGCGACAGACTTGCCGTTATCATTCCCAACAATAGAATAGTATTAGATGCAGGTTTTTATTATATTCCTTAAATTGTAATGTAGACAAATTTGCTTACATATTTAAAATTTTAATAAGTTTTAAATATTAATTTTTATAATTTTACTTATATTATAAAAAATATAGTTTAAGATATTTTTTATTCATTTTATTAAGTAAAAAATTAAAATTTTATTGAAAATTTTAAAAATAAATAACTTTAAACTTTGTGTTTAAAATTTTGATATAAAAAATTATATAAAATTTAATATATGTTTAAAGTAAAAAAATTATTTTGCTTTTAATACAAGTTAAAATTTTTATAATTAAACTATTAAAATTGTAATAATTAAAGTTATTCTTTACAAATAATTCTATAAAACTGATTATTATTATATAAACTTTAATTTAAAAATTTTTAAGTTTGTCTAAGATCAACTTTTATTAAAAAAATTTTGCTTATAATTAAACTCTAAATTTTTATTAAATAAATGAAAATAAATATTATTAATAGATAATATATAATTAAAATTAATATTATATAAATTTTTAGAAAAATATTTTGATTATTTAAAAAAAATAAATGAAAAGCAACTTTTTAGTTAAAAAATTTTGAAAATTATAAAAAAAAATATCTTATGATTTAAGAAATAAATATATTTAAAGACCCGTAGGTCCATAGTGTAGTAGTTAATACTCCACAGGTTAAATTTCAAGATATTAGTTCAATTCCATATGAGGGTGGTTAAATAGAATTAATATAGTATCTGATGCCATAACCTGTAAATATGCTGTTTCTCATGAGAAGCTATTTCACATATTGATTCAATAGATGTTAAGATTGTGATTTTTAGAAAAGGTGTTATGGTACAATGATCATTTGGTTAATATTATAATAATCATCAAAAGTTGCAAGATGTATGAGGTGTTTGCTTTTGACAAATAGGTTTGGTGATTACTTTCCTAATATCTGGCATCTTTTATATAGATCTTTGTTCTAGTCTTATTCCAATCCAGTAATAAACCAGTCTGGTGGTACTTATCCCAAGAAGGCATCTGGCTATAAGTCCTGTTCCTTGCAATATATAAGTTGATATTCAAGCAATAAGTATTAGTTATAAGTATTTTAAATGTTCTTGGATATTATTGGACAGATAAGAAATTAAATAGTTAGCCCAGTTACAAGTAATGGTAAAGGGATTTATTCCTGATGGAGCAAGTAGGGATTATGTAGCTTTATTCGCCATAGGTATTACCCCTAATATTTCCTTTCAATTTTTCCTTAATTCTTCTTCAATTAGAAATAAAGTTGTTTATTATTAGTAAAAATGCATGCTACTGATTAAACAAAATAATTTCTTTGTTCAGTAGATTAGCCTCTATACCTAATATAGTTAGAAACAAGCTATAGCAAATATATTATTTGGAGCAATCCTAATAAGTATTAGATGTAACTGACAACTGATACATTATAATATAGTCCTAAATAGTAATGTTTAAAGATATATATAAATATCATTATAAGAAATAAACATCTAACCAGACAATTATTGCTGGTGTACTTTAAAAAAAAATAAATATAAATAAATATAAATATATTTAAATAAAAAACACTAACTTTAATACTGTAAATACAAAAAATACTATTTTTTAAACCAATAAATTTAAAATATTGTTATACTGTTTTTCTTTTTGGTTTTGATTATAATTTTGTATTAGAAACATTTTTATTAACTGAAGAAAAACTTAAGAATAATATATCAGTTTCAAGATTTGACTCTGTTTTACTAAACATTTTATAATATATAAAATTGTAAAACAGATATTTATAAATATATTTATGTAATACTAGTTTTTTTTTTTTTTTAAAAGTAGATAAACACCAATTCTTTATTTATTTGTATATTACAAGGTATATATTACAAAAGAATCAACATCTCTTGGG